ACCTGTGACAGGTCACAGAAGGCATCTGAGTCATCAGCTTTGCCTGCATCCCTCCACGGATGTTCATCTTCGGTGGGGGCATAAGTAACCACGACAACCATTCCTCGCCTCCGGTTGATGGGAAGGCGAGCCCAAAGTAGCCTGGGGCTTACAGCTTCCCACACCTCACCGCCACGCTCCCACGCCCCCTTCATTCTTTTGTTCAGAAGAAGATCCACACCCCTGTTGTTTGGCAGTACACACAACAACCGCCATTCGCCATTAAGTGGCGGTGATGTCACCACGACGCTTGTGCCAGGACATGTGCACCTTGAGGCCACGTTGAGTGTCGAACGCCCGCTGGCAGGAGGTCACGGGGCAGACCCAGGTGCCACGGGTCGACTGAGATGACTGGCTGATGCACCACCTGTGCCCCCTACTGTGCCAACATGCTGTGCTTTAGCCACCCGGCGCTCCGCTCGTTGTTTTGAGCGTCGCTCCTCCGCCCTCCGTTGTTGTTGGAGGGCGACTGCCTCCAACTGCCCAGTAGCAGCGTCCTTCACGAGCCTCCTCCACAGAGGCCGGTCTTGACACCGCTGGTACCAGTCATCGGCAAGTCCACTCACCTCCACGTCCTCCTGTACCACATCACTCCATCTCTTCTCTAGCCCGTGCCGTGCCCGTTTAGCCCCCTCGATCCGGCCGAACAAAAGCTGTTTCGGCATGCGGTGGCTGGGCATGCGGGCTACACGACCCAGCCAACGCAGCCTTGCCCGCCGGAGGAGCTCACCGATGGGACCTTGCCCAGATCAAAACAACCCCCTACCTCCTCGCGGTGCCGGACGGGCAACTCTGTCGTGGACAGTGCTGTGGGGGGGAGGGCCCAATTCCGATTGGCTCCTCCCCTCATGGCGTCTGTGACCACCACAGGGGCTAAACGGGGGCCTCTGGACGGGTGCGAGGGGCTGGTAACCCCCTCCACCTTCAAAAAACTACCACGAAACTACGAAACTGCAGTACACACGCACACTGTACCACACACACAGACACTGTCACATTGTAGTGTAGGCACGTGCGTGCAACAGCAAGTTGTGGTTATCACGGAGGGTGGGGGTAACGTGGACGTTACCATCGACGAACTCTCTCGATGGCCCCCATCACCCGCTTGATGTCGTCCTTGGCTCGGCTCCGAGTCTCCGCTCGGATTGAGCGACCCGACATTGTCTCTGTGTGTCTCTGGGTGTCTCTGTCTCTGTGTGTCTCTGTGTCTCTGTCTGTGGGTGTCTCTGTGTGTGTCTGTCTGTGTCTCGGGGTGTCTCTGTCTGTCTCTGGGTGTCTCTGTCTCTGTGTGTCTCTGTGTCTCTGTCTGTGGGTGTCTCTGTGTGTGTCTGTCTGTGTCTCGGGGTGTCTCTTTCTGTCTCTGGGTGTCTCTGTCTCTGTGTGTCTCTGTCTCTGGGTGTCTCTGTCTCTGGGTGTCTCTGGGTGTCTCTGTGTGTCTCTGGGTGTCTCTGTGTCTCTGGATGTCTCTGGGTGTCTCTAGGTGTGTCTCTGGGTGTCTCTGGGTGTCTCTGTGTCTCTGTCTCTGGGTGTCTCTGGGTGTCTCTAGGTGTGTCTCTGGGTGTCTCTGGGTGTCTCTGTCTCTGGGTGTCTCCGTGTGTCTCTGTCTCTGGGTGTCTCTGGGTGTCTCTGGGTGTCTCTAGGTGTCTCTGGGTGTCTCTGTCTGTCTCTGGGTGTCTCTGTGTCTGTCTCTCACTGTCTCTGTGTGTCTCTGTCTCTGGGTATCTCTGTCTGTCTCTGGGTGTCTCTGTCTCTGTGTGTCTCTGTGTCTGTCTCTGTGTGTCTCTGGGTCTGTCTCTGTGTGTCTGTCTCTGTGTGTCTCTGTCTCTGGGTGTCTCTAGGTGTCTCTGTGTCTCTGTGTGTCTCTAGGTGTCTCTAGGTGTCTGTCTCTCACTGTCTCTGGGTGTCTCCGTGTGTCTCTGTCTCTGGGTGTCTCTGTGTGTCTCTGTCTCTGGGTGTCTCTGTGTGTCTCTAGGTGTCTCTAGGTGTCTGTCTCTCACTGTCTCTGTCTGTCTCCGTGTGTCTCTGTGTGTGTCTCTCACTGTCTCTGTCTGTCTCTGTGTGTCTCTGTGTCTGTCTCTCACTGTCTGTGTCTCTGTGTGTCTCCGTGTGTCTCCGTGTCTCTGTGTCTGTCTCTGGGTCTGTCTCTCACTGTCTGTGTCTGTCTCTGTGTCTCTGAGTGTCTCTGTGTCTGTCTCTGTGTGTCTGTCTCTGGGTGTCTCTGTCTCTGTCTGTCTCTGGGTGTCTCTGGATGTCTGTCTGTCTCTGTCTGTCTCTGGGTGTCTCTGGGTGTCTCTGTCTGTCTGTCTCTGGGTGTCTGTGTGTGTCTCTGGGTGTCTGTGTGTCTCTGTGTGTCTGTGTCTGTCTCTGTGTCTCTCAGTCTGTCTCTCTCTGTTTCTCACTGTCTCTACTCTGTCTCTCTCCTCAGTCTCTCTCTCTGTCTCTGTCCCTCTCTCTGTCTGTCTCTCAGTCTAAGTCTGTCTCTCACTGTCTCTCTGTGTTATCTCTCTCCTCAATATCTCTGTCTCTCTCTGTCTGTCTCTCTCAGTCTGTCTGTCTCTCTCAATCTGTCTCTCTGTCTGTCTCTCTCAGTCTCTGTCTCTCACTGTCTCTCTGTCCCTCTCAGTCTCTGTCTCTCTGAGTCTCTGTCTGTCTCTCTCAGTCTCTGTCTCTCTGTCTCTCTCAGTCTCTCACTGTCTCAGTCTCTGTCTCACTGTCTCTGTGTCTCTCACTGTCTCTGTGTCTCTGTCTCACAGTCTCTGTGTCTCACTGCCTCTGTGTCTCTGTCTCACAGTCTCTGTGTCTCACTGTCTCTCACTGTCTCTCTGTGTCTCACTGTCTCTGTCTCTCTCAGTCTCTCACTGTCTCTCTGTGTCTCACTGTCTCTGTGTGTGTCTCTCTCTCTCACTGTCTCTGTGTCTCTGTGTCTCACTGTCTCTCACTGTCCTCGTGTCTCACACTGTCTCTCACTGTCTCTCACTGTCTCTGTGTGTGTCTCTCTCTCTCACTGTCTCTGTGTCTCACTGTCTCTGTGTCTCACTGCCTCTGTGTCTCACTGTCTCTCTGTGTCTCACTGTCTCTCACTGTCTCTCTGTGTCTCACTGTCTCTGTCTCACTGTCTCTGTGTCTCTTACTGTCTCACTGTCTCTGTGTCTCTTACTGTCTCTGTGTCTCACTGTCTCTGTGTCTCACTGCCTCTGTGTCTCTGTGTCTCACACTGTCTATGTGTCTCACTGTCTCACTGTCTCTGTGTCTCACTGCCTCTGTGTCTCACTGTCTATGTGTCTCACTGCCTCTGTCTCACTGCCTCTGTGTCTCACTGTCTCACAATGTCTCTCTGCCTCTCACTGTCTCTCTGTGTCTCTCTCTCTCTCACTGTATCCGTGTCCGTGTCTCTCTCTCTCCTCACAAAATCGCTCGATCTCCCGCGGCGGAGAGAGAAGAGCGATGGGGGTAGGGTTAAGAAGGCGAGCGACGAGAAGAGAAGAGAGAGAGACGAGAGAGAAGAGAGAGAGAAGAGAGACGAGAGAGACGAGAGAGAAGAGAGAGAGATGAGAAGAGAGAGAGAGAGAAGGGGAAAAATAATCCGCGTCTGCTCCCACCGCCAACACCACAGCCACCATCACCACCACCACCATCAGCAAAGATTCGACCCGCCGGGGCACCTACTCCTAACGCGCCTTCCCATTGGTCGGTGGAGAGGGCAGCAGACGCGGGCCAATGGGGAGGGAGGAGAGAGAGCGAGGGCGCGGGCCAATGGGGAGAGGGGAGGAGAGAGCGCGAGGGCGCGGGCCAATGGGGAGAGGGGAGGAGGGAGCGCGAGGGCGCGGGCCAATGGGGAGAGGGGAGGAGAGAGCGCGAGGGCGCGGGCCAATGGGGAGGGAGGAGAGAGCGCGAGGGCGCGGGCCAATGGGGAGTGAGTTGGGGGGGGGGTTGGGGTGATGGGGGTGGGGAGGGGGTGAGGGTGTGGGGGAGGGGGTGAGGGGGGTGAGGTGGGTGAGGGGGGTGAGGGGGAGGGGGTGAGGGGGGTGAGGGGGAGGGGGTGAGGGGGAGAGGGTGAAGGGGAGGGGGGTGAAGGGGAGGGGGAAGGGGTGAGGGGGAGGGGGTGAAGGGGAGGGGGTGAGGGGGTGAAGGGGAGGGGGTGAGGGGGGTGAGGGGGTGAGGGGGGTGAGGGGGAGGGGTGAGGGTGAGTAGGAAGTGAAGATGTTTGTGAGTTTTGGTGGATAACGTCACGTGACACTGCGCGTCTCGAGACGTCTGTCTCTGTCTGTCTGTGTCTCTGTCTCTCTGTCTGTGTCTCTCTGTCTGTGTCTGTGTCTCTGTCTCTCTGTCTGTGTCTCTCTGTCTGTGTCTGTGTCTCTGTCTCTCTCTGTCTGTGTCTCTCTGTCTGTGTCTGTGTCTCTGTCTCTCTCTGTCTGTGTCTCCCTCTGTCTCTGTGTCTCTGTCTCTCTCTCTGTCTCCCTTTGTCTCTGTCTGTCTCTGTCTCCCTCTCTCTCTCTGTCTCTCTCTGTCTCTGTGTCTCTCTCTGTCTCTGTGTCTCTGTGTCCCCCTCTGTCTCTCTCTGTCTCTGTCTCTCTCTCTCTCTCTGTCTCTCTCTGTCTCTCTGTCTCTCTCTGTCTCTGTCTGTCTCTGTGTCTCTCTCTGTCTCTGTCTCTCTCTGTGTCTCTCTCTGTCTCTGTCTCTCTCTGTCTCTGTCTCCCTCTGTCTCTCTGTCTCTCTCTCTGTCTCTCTCTGTCTCTGTCTCTCTCTGTCTCTGTCTCTGTGTCTCTCTCTGTCTCTGTGTCTCTCTCTGTCTCTCTGTCTCTGTCTCCCTCTGTCTCTGTGTCTCTCTCTGTCTCTGTCTCCCTCTGTCTCTGTCTCTGTGTCTCTCTCTGTCTCTGTCTCTCTCTGTCTCTCTCTGTCTCTCTCTCTCTCTGTCTCTCTCTCTCTGTCTCCCTCTGTCTCTCTGTCTCCCTCTCTCTGTCTCCCTGTCTCTGTCTCTCTCTGTCTCCCTGTCTCTGTCTCTCTCTGTCTCTGTGTCTCTCTCTGTGTGTCCCCACACACGATGTCTCGCTGTGGTCTCATCACCGACAGTTTCGCAGTGGTGAGACGCGCGAAGACACGGGTGAGACACGGGGGGAGACACGGGGGAGACACGGGGAGACACGGGGGGGGGAGACACGGCGGGGACAAGGGGGAGACACGGGGGCGGGGGAGACACGGAGACAAGGAGACGGAGGTAGAAGCGGTGGAAAGCCTAGAGGCGGCGATTGAGAGAAGAGGTGAGACACGGGGGAGACACGGGGGGAGACACGGGGGGAGACACGGGGAGACACGGGGGACACGGGGAGACACGGGGAGACACGGGGGGGAGACACGGGGAGACACGGGGGAGACACGGGGGAGACACGGGGGGAGAGACACGGGTGAGACACGGGGGGAGAGACACGGGGGAGACACGGGGGCGGGGGAGACACGGCGGGGACACGGGGGGGGAGACACGGCGGGGACCAGGGGGAGACACGGGGGAGACACGGAGACAAGGAGACGGAGGTAGAAGCGGTCGAAAGCCTAGAGGCGGCGATTGAGAGAAGAGGTGAGACACGGGGGAGACACGGGGGGAGACACGGGGGGAGACACGGGGAGACACGGGGGACACGGGGAGACACAGGGAGACACGGGGGGAGACACGGGGGAGACACGGGGGAGACACGGGGAGACACGGGGGAGACACGGGGGGGACAAGGGGGAGACACGGGGGCGGGGGAGACACGGCGGGGACACGGGGGGGGAGACACGGCGGGGACAAGGGGGAGACACGGGGGAGACACGGAGACAAGGAGACGGAGGTAGAAGTGGTGGAAAGCCTAGAGGCGGCGATTGAGAGAAGAGGTGAGACACGGGGAGACACGGGGAGACACGGGGGGGAGACACGGGGGAGACACGGCGGGGACACGGGGAGACACGGGGGGAGACACGGCGGGGACAAGGGGGAGACACGGGGGAGACACGGAGACAAGGAGACGGAGGTAGAAGTGGTGGAAAGCCTAGAGGCGGCGATTGAGAGAAGAGGTGAGACACGGGGGAGACACGGGGGGGACACGGGGGGAGACACGGCGGGGACAAGGGGGAGACACGGGGGAGACACGGAGACAAGGAGACGGAGGTAGAAGTGGTGGAAAGCCTAGAGGCGGCGATTGAGAGAAGAGGTGAGACACGGGGGAGACACGGGGGGGACACGGGGAGACACGGGGGAGACACGGGGGAGACACGGGGGGAGACACGGGGGAGACACGGGGGAGACACGGGGAGACACAGGGAGACACGGGGGGAGACACGGGGGAGACACGGGGGAGAGACACGGGGAGACACGGGGGAGACACGGGGGGAGAGACACGGGTGAGACACGGGGGCGGGGGAGACACGGCGGGGACACGGGGGGGGAGACACGGCGGGGACAAGGGGGAGACACGGGGGAGACACGGAGACAAGGAGACGGAGGTAGAAGCGGTCGAAAGCCTAGAGGCGGCGATTGAGAGAAGAGGTGAGACACGGGGGAGACACGGGGGGAGACACGGGGGAGACACGGGGGAGACACGGGGGAGACACGGGGAGACACGGGGAGAGACACGGGGAGACACGGGGGAGACACGGGGAGACACGGGGGAGACACGGGGGAGAGACAGAGGGAGACACGGGGGAGACAGGGAGACACGGGGGAGACACGAGGGAGACACGGGGGAGACACGGGGGAGACACGGGGGGAGAGACACGGGGGAGACACGGGGGAGACACGGGGGGAGAGACACGGGTGAGACACGGGGGGGGAGACACGGCGGGGACACGGGGGGGGAGACACGGCGGGGACAAGGGGGAGACACGGGGGCGGGGGAGACACGGAGACAAGGAGACGGAGGTAGAAGCGGTCGAAAGCCTAGAGGCGGCGATTGAGAGAAGAGGTGAGACACGGGGGAGACACGGGGAGACACGGGGGAGACACGGGGAGACACGGGGGAGACACGGGGAGAGACACGGGGGAGACACGGGGGGAGACACGGGGAGACACGGGGAGACACGGGGGGAGACACGGGGGGAGACACGGGGAGACACGGGGAGACACGGGGAGACACGGGGGGAGACACGGGGGAGACACGGGGAGACACGGGGGAGACACGGGGGGAGACACGGGGGGAGACACGGGGAGAGACACGAGGAGACACGGGGAGACACGGGGGAGACACGGGGGGGGAGACACGGGGGAGACACGGGGAGACACGGGGGAGACACGAGGGAGACACGGGGGGAGACACGGGGGAGACACGGGGAGACACGGGGAGACACGGGGAGACACGGGGGGAGACACGGGGGAGACACGGGGGAGACACGGGGGGAGACACGGGGGAGACACGGGGGAGACACGGCGGAGACACGGGGAGACACGGGGGGAGACACGGGGAGACACGGGGGAGACACGGGGGAGACACGGGGAGACACGGGGGAGACACGGGGAGACACGGGGGGGAGACACGGGGGGAGACACGGGGGAGACACGGGGAGACACGGGGAGACACGGGGAGACACGGGGGGAGACACGGGGGAGACACGGGGAGACACGGGGGGAGACACGGGGGGAGACACGGGGAGAGACACGAGGAGACACGGGGAGACACGGGGGAGACACGGGGGGGGGGACACGGGGGAGACACGGGGAGACACGGGGGAGACACGGGGAGACACGAGGGAGACACGGGGGGAGACACGGGGGAGACACGGGGAGACACGGGGGAGACACGGGGAGACACGGGGGGAGACACGGGGGAGACACGGGGGAGACACGGGGGGAGACACGGGGGAGACACGGGGGAGACACGGGGAGACACGGGGGGAGACACGGGGAGACACGGGGGAGACACGGGGGAGACACGGGGAGACACGGGGGAGACACGGGGAGACACGGGGGGGAGACACGGGGAGACACGGGGAGACACGGGGAGACACGGGGAGAGACGGGGGGAGACACGGGGGAGACACGGGGAGACACGGGGAGAGATACGGGGGAGACACGGGGAGACACGGGGGAGACACGGGGGAGACACGGGGGGGAGACACGGGGAGAGACACGGGGAGACACGGGGGAGACACGGGGAGACACGGGGGGAGACACGGGGGGAGACACGGGGAGACACGGGGGAGACACGGGGGAGACACGGGGAGAGACACGGGGAGACACGGGGGGGAGACACGGGGAGACACGGGGAGACACGGGGGAGACACGGGGGGGAGACACGGGGAGACAAGGGGGGAGACACGGGGAGACACGGGGGAGACACGGGGAGAGACACGGGGGGGGAGGGAGACACGGGGAGACACGGGGATACACGGGGGGGGAGACACGAGGGAGACACGGGGAGACACGGGGGAGACACGGGGGAGACACGGGGAGACACGGGGGAGACACGGGGAGACACGGGGGAGACACGGGGAGACACGGGGGGAGACACGGCGGGGACAAGGGGGAGACACGGGGGAGACACGGGGAGACACGGAGAGACACGGGGGGAGACACGGCGGGGACAAGGGGGAGACACGGGGGAGACACGGGGAGACACGGGGAGACACGGGGGAGACACGGGGGGGGAGGGAGACACGGGGAGACACGGGGAGACACGGGGGAGACACGGGGGGAGACACGGGGGGGGGGGAGACACGAGGGAGACACGGGGAGACACGGGGGAGACACGGGGGAGACACGGGGAGACACGGGGGAGACACGGGGGGAGACACGGCGGGGACAAGGGGGAGACACGGGGGAGACACGGGGAGACACGGGGAGACACGGGGGAGACACGGGGAGACACGGGGAGACACGGGGAGACACGGGGGAGACACGGGGGAGACACGGGGAGACACGGGGGAGACACGGGGAGACACGGGGGAGACACGGGGAGACACGGGGGAGACACGGGGGAGACACGGGGGGGGGAGACACGGGGAGACACGGGGGGAGACACGGAGAGACACGGGGGGAGACACGGCGGGGACAAGGGGGAGACACGGGGGAGACACGGGGAGACACGGGGAGACACGGGGGAGACACGGGGGGGGGAGGGAGACACGGGGAGACACGGGGAGACACGGGGGAGACACGGGGGAGACACGGGGGAGACACGGGGAGACACGGGGGAGACACGGGGAGACACGGGGGAGACACGGGGGAGACACGGGGGGGGGAGACACGGGGGAGACACGGGGGGAGACACGGGGGAGACACGGGGAGACACGGGGAGACACGGGGGGAGACACGGGGGAGACACGGGGGGAGACACGGAGAGACACGGAAAGACACGGGGAGACACACGGGGGGAGACACGGGGAGACACGGGGGAGACACGGGGAGACACGGGGGAGACACGGGGAGACACGGGGGAGACACGGGGAGACACGGCGGGGACAAGGGGGAGACACGGGGGAGACACGGGAGGAAAGGCTTGAACTACTATGGAGGGTTTTTTATATTGTTGTGGTAGTTGTGGTGGTTGTTGATAGTGTTGTGGTGGTTGTTGTGGTGGTTGTGGTGGTTGTTGATATCGTTGTGGTGGTTGTTGTGGTGCTTGTGGTGGTTGTTGTGGTCTAGATTTGGATCAGCTGCGAGCCTTTGACCTCGCTATGGAATACGGACCTTGTACAGGTAACCATGGCAACATCACCACCACCATCATCACCATCACCACCATCATCACCTCCATCATTACCATCATCACCTCCATCATTACCATCACTACCACCATTACCATCACCACCACCATTATCACCATCACTACCATCATCACCACCATCATCACCATCACTACCATCATTACCATCACCATCACCACCATCATCACCATCACTACCATCATTACCACCACCATCATCACCACCACCATCATCACCACCACCACCATCATCACCACTATCATCATCACCATCACTACCATCATTACTACCATCATCATCACCACCATCAACAACAACAACCGCCATTCGCCACTAAGTGGCAGTGACGTCACCACGACGCTTGTGCCAGGCTATGTGCACCCTGAGGCCACGTGAAGTGTCGAACGCCCGCTGGCAGGAGGTCACGGGGCAGACTCAGGTGCCACGGGTCGACTGACTGAGGTGACTGAGATGACTGGCTGATGCACCACCTGTGCCCCTTACTGTGCCAACCTGCTGTGCTTTAGTCACCCGGCGCTCCGCTCGTTGTTGTGAGCGTCGCTCCTCCGCCCTCCGTTGTTGTTGGAGGGCGACTACCTCCAACTGCCCAGTAGTGTCCTTCACGAGCCTCCTCCACAGAGGCCGATCTTGACACTGCTGGTACCAGTCATCGGCAAGTCCATTCAGCTCCACATCCTCCTGTACCACATCACTCCATCTCTTCTCTAGCCCGTGCCGCGCCCGCTTAGCCCCCTCGATCCGGCCGAACAAAAGCTGTTTCGGCATGCGGTGGCTGGGCATGCGGGTTACATGACCCAGCCATCGCAGCCTTGCCCGCGGGAGGAGCTCACCGATGGGACCTTGCCCAGATCTTTCAAGGATTTGTGAGCTCCTCACACAATCCAGTCTGGTTAAACCCAGGATGGATCGTAGGCAGGCCAGCCTAAATGTTTCTAACCGGCGAAGATGTTCCATTAGGGGTCCACGTTTTGCAAGCGTAGAGAAGGGAGGGAATGACCGTGGCCGAGAAGACCTGAAGCTTAGTGCGGAGCGACAGACCAGGTAGCTTCCACACAGCGTTACGCAACCGATGAAAAGATATTGCCGCTCGACTGATTCGGAGTGAGACCTCTGCTGTTAAACTGGAGCCGGTCATAAGCACACTGCCCAGGTATGAGAAACTCTCCACTCTCTCCACAACTGCCCCATCACCGATTGGGAGTTGTGGGGGTGGAGTGTCCGATGGTACAAAAGACCCAGGCAGGTGCTTAGTTTTGGTGGGGCTGATGGTAAGGCCCCACCTCTTAGTGGCACGCTCCAGTCTCAGCAGCAGCGTCTCCAACTCCTCCTCTGAATGAGCAGCTATTACCAAATCATCAGCATACATAACGTGGTTGAGCAATAGGGAGCCATCCCTTGACCGCACCCGGGCATCGATCAGCCTCCCATTATATCTGTACCATATGGAGATTCTTCCGGTACAGCTATTGAAGGCTTCACGAACTACGTGGTCAAAATAGATATTAAAAATGTGGGAGCCAGAGGACATCCCTGTCGCACCCCAAGGTGTACAGGGAATGGCTCTGACTCCCGGCCACGTAGTTTTACCCGGGCCCGCTCACCATCATGAAGGTCCTTAATGATCGTGAGCAGAGGGTCAGGTACTCCAAAAGCACGAAGAACAACCCAGAGCCCAGGCCTACTGATGGTATCATAGGCCTTTACCAGGTCAATAAAGCAGAGATGTAGGTCTTGTTGTAATTCCCTACACCTCTGCTGTAGCAGACGGACAGAAAATATGGCATCTGTGCAGTACCGCCCTTTCCTGAAACCGCATTGGGGCTCTGCAAGCCTCTCCTCAGCGTGCCTGGCAAGGCGATGCTGAATAATCCTTGCCAGGACCTTTCCCGGTACACTGAGGAGTGAGATGCCCCTGTAGTTGTTACAGTCTGTGCGGTCCCCCTTCTTAAAAAGGGGGACCACCAGGGCATCCTTCCAATTCTGCGGAACCCATCCAGTGGTCCAGACCGTTGTTATGATGTCATATAGGGCAGTCTGTGCACAAACGCCACCCTCCCTCAGCATTTCGCTTGGGAGATCATCTCTGCCCGCTGCCTTTCCTGGTCTCAGACTCCAGATTGCCTTCAGTACTTCCTCAACAGATGGCACCTCAGCCAGCCACTCACAGGGGGTGACTTCTTCCAATTTTTGAGGCACCGCAGCCTCAGCAGGGTCATCCTCACTTTGTGCCATGATGTTTTCCTGGCTGAAGGATTTTCCCTCCCCCAGGACCTCACAGAAATGCTCAGCAAATCTGCAAACCTGTTCCTGGGGGTCAGAGATTGGATCACTGTTTTTTCCCCTAATGATGGTAATAGATGTGGCGCTGCAGGTTACTTTTTTGATGGAGTTAAATAGAGAATTGTGATCACGGGCCACTGAGGCAGACTCCATCTCCTCAGCAACCCGCGACCACCACCCATTCTTGCAGCGCCTCACGGCTCTCCGAACCTCCGAGCGAAGGCTGCGGTAAGCTTCCTCATTCTCTGACGTGGGATTCTGTAGCCGATGACAGTGGGCCTGTCGCTTTTTCTCAACCATCCTGAACACCTCCTCTGTCAGCCAGGGTCTCTGGGGAGGTCTGGACCGCGTACCCAAAGCAGCCATTGCAGCTGCATGAGTCACAGTCCTAAACCTCGCCCATTTACCCTCGACATCAGGAGGAGTCGGGGACGATGCCAATCCCAGCCGCAAGCGATGATTAAATTCTCGCTTGCAACTTTCATCAGATAACTGAGACCAGGCCACTTTAGGTTGGAATGGGGTCCTGGGTGTACACCCACCACCGGAGTGGAAGAATGGCAGGCGCATCTTACAGATGACTAGTCGATGGTCAGAGGGCAGATCAGCTCCACGGTAGGTCCTGGTGTCAAGGACATGGGCTCGCATCCGCTGGTCCGTCACTATGTAGTCCAGCAGATGTTCTTGCTTGGACCCGGCGTGCATCCATGATGTTGTGTGGATGCGCCGATGCCGGAACAGCGTGTTGGTAATTACAAGCCCATGGGCTGCACAAAAATCTAGCAGCCTCCTACTGTTGTTATTGAGCTGATCTGGCCCATGCCCTCCAATCACTCCAGACCAGGTGCCAGTATCATGACCAACTCGGGCATTGAAGTCACCCAACATGATGACTCTATCCCGATGGGCCACTTTAGCCAGCACCTGTGACAGGAGGTCATAGAAGGCATCTGACTCATCAGCTTTGCCTGCATCCCTCCACGGATGTTCATCTTCGGTGGGGGCATAAGTAACCACGACCACCATTCCTCGCCTCTGGTTGATGGGAAGGCGAGCCCAAAGTAGCCTGGGGCTTAAAGCTTCCCACACCTCACCGCCACGCTCCCACGCCCCCTTCATTCTTTTGTTCAAAAGAAGAGCCACTCCCTGTTGTTTGGCAGTCTGCTGCCCCGAGTAGAGGACTGTCCACCCCTCATGGTGGCAGGAGCCAGAGCCGGTCCACTGGACCTCCTGAATGCCACATAGATCCAGGCAGTACCGGTCCAGCTCCCGACAGAGGAGTGGCAGCCTCTCCTCCGCAGTGAGCGTTCGAACATTCCACGTGGCCACCCGTAGTGGCTTTTCGTTGTTTCTGGAGGAGCCCCGAGGGTAGATATTCAATCTCCTGGCTCCGCCATTTGGGGTTTGGCCAGGAGACGTCATAGATGCCTGGCCCCCCGGGGCCTCCGGCACAAGCTTATTAGTTACATATTTCAGTTTAACTCGTGGTTTAGTGGTAATTAATTGAAGGTGGAGGGGTTACCAGCCCCTCGCACCCGTCCAGAGCCCCCGTTTAGCCCCTGTGGTGGACACATATGCCATGAGGGGAGGAGCCAATCAAAATTGGACCTTCCCCCATAGCACTGTCCACGACATAGTTGCCCGTCCGGCACCGCGAGGAGGTAGGGGGTTGTTTTGCCGGACACCACCACCATCACCACCATCATCACCATCACCACCACCATCACTACCATCACCACCATCATCACCATCACCACCACCATCACTACCATCACCACCATCATCACCATCACTACCACCATCACTACCATCATTACTACCATCACCACCATCATCACCACCACCATCACCACCATCATCACCATCACCACCACCATCATCACCACCATCATCACCATCACTACCATCATTACTACCATCACCACCATCATCACCACCACCATCACCACCATCATCACCACCATCATCACCATCACCACCACCATCACTACCATCACCACAATCACCACCATCACCTCTACCATCACCACCACCATCACCACCATCATGACCATCACCACAACCATCATCACCATCATCACCATCATCACCACCATCACTACCATCATTACTACCATCACCACCATCATCACCATCACCACCATCACCATCACCACCATCACCACCATTATCACTACCATCATCACCATCACTACCATCATCACCATCACTACCATCATCATCACCACCATCATCACCACCATCATCACCACCATCATCACCACCATCACCACTATCATCACCACCACCATCACCATCATCACCACCATCATCACCTTCATCACCATCATCACCACCACCATCACCACCATCATCACCATCATCACCACCACCATCATCACCATCACCACCACCATCACCACCATCATCACCATCACTACCATCATTACTACCATCACCACCATCATCACCACCACCATCACCACCATCATCACCATCACCACCACCATCACTACCATCACCACAATCACCACCATCATCACTATCACCTCTACCATCACCACCACCACCATCACCACCATCATGACCATCACCACAACCATCATCACCATCATCACCATCATCACCACCATCACTACCATCATTACTACCATCACCACCATCATCACCATCACCACCATCACCATCACCACCATTATCACTACCATCATCACCATCATCACTACCATCATCACCATCACTACCATCATCATCACCACCATCATCATCACCACCATCATCACCACCATCACCACTATCATCACCACCACCATCACCACCATCACCACCATCATCACCTTCATCACCATCATCATCACCACCATCACCACCATCATCACCATCATCACCACCACCATCATCACCATCACCACCACCATCACTACCATCACCACAATCACCACCATCATCACCACTACCATCACCACTACCATCACCACCATCATGACCATCACCACAACCATCATCACCATCACCACCATCATCACCATCATCACCACCATCATCACCATCACTACCATCATTACTACCATCACCACCATCACCACCATTATCACTACCATCATCACCACCACCATCACCACCATCATCACCTTCATCACCATCATCACCACCACCATCACCACCATCATCACCATCATCACCACCACCATCACCACCATCATCACCATCATCACCATCATCACCATCACCACCACCATCACTACCATCACCACAATCACCACCATCATCACCACTACCATCACCACTACCATCACCACCATCATGACCATCACCACAACCATCATCACCATCACCACCATCATCACCATCATCACCACCATCATCACCATCACTACCATCATTACTACCATCACCACCATCATCACCATCACCACCATTATCACTACCATCATCACCACCATCATCATCACCACCATCATCACCACCATCACCACCATCATCACCACCACCATCACCACCATCATCACCTTCATCACCATCATCACCACCACCATCACCACCATCATCACCATCATCACCACCACCATCACCACCATCACCCCCACCATCACCACCACCACTTTCACCTCCACCATCACCACCATCATCACCACCACCACCACCACCATCATCATCACCACCACCATCACCGCCACCATCACCACCATCATCAACATCACCACCATCACCACCATCATGTGTCTCTGTGTGTGTGTGTCTCTGTGTGTCTCTGTGTGTCTCTCTCTGTGTCTCTCTGTGTGTGTCTCTCTCCGTGTGTCTCTCTGTGTGTCTCTCTCCGTGTGTCTCTGTGTGTGTGTCTCTGTATGTGTCTCTCTGTGTGTGTCTTTCTCTCTGTGTATCTGTGTGTGTGTCTCTCTGTGTGTGTCCCTCTCCGTGTGTCTGTGTGTGTGTCTGTGTGTGTGTATCTGTGTGTGTGTCTGTGTGTGTGTATACACTGTGTGTCTGTGTGTGTGTCTGTGTGTACACTGTGTGTGTGTGTGTACACTGTGTGTGTGTGTACACTGTGTGTTTGTGTGTGTCTGTGTGTGTGTACACTGTGTGTGTCTGTGTGTGTGTGTACACTGTGTGTGTGTCTGTGTGTGTACAATGTGTGTGTGTACACTGTGTGTGTGTACACTGTGTGTGTGTACACTGTGTGTGTCTGTGTGTGTGTGTACACTGTGTGTGTGTCTGTGTGTGTACAATGTGTGTGTGTACACTGTGTGTGTGTACACTGTGTGTGTGTCTGTGTGTGTACACTGTGTGTGTACACTGTGTGTGTCTGTGTGTGCACACTGTGTGTGTACACTGTGTGTGTACACTGTGTGTGTGTGTACACGTGTGTGTGTACACTGTGTGTGTGTTCACGTGTGTGTACACTGTGTGTGTGTACACTGTGTGTGTGTACACTGTGTGTGTACACTGTGTGTCTGTGCGTGTGTACACTGTGTGTGTGTACACTGTATGTGTGTACACTGTGTCTGTGTGTGTACACTGTGTGTGTGTACACTGTGTGTGTGTACACTGTGTGTGTACACTGTGTGTGTGTGTACACTGTGTGTGTGTACACTGTGTGTGTGTGTACACTGTGTGTGTGTACACTGTGTCTATGTGTGTACACTGTGTCTGTGTGTGTACACTGTGTGTGTGTGTGTAGGCATCACGCGATTGGAGCGATGGGCGCGTGCTGAGAGTCTGGCCCTGGGCCCTCCATGCTGGGTGAAGGCGATGGTGGAGGGGAGGTCGGAAGACGTTCGCTTCACCCACAGGTAGAGGTGCAGGTGCAGGTAGAGGTAGAGGTGCAGGTAGAGGTGCAGGTAGAGGTGCAGGTGCAGGTGCAGGTAGAGGTACAGGTAGAGGTGCAGGTGCAGGTAGATGTGCAGGTAGAGGTGCAGGTAGATGTGCAGGTAGAGGTGCAGGTAGAGGTGCAGGTAGAGGTGCAGGTAGAGGTGCAGGTACAGGTGCAGGTGCAGGTAGAGGTGCAGGTACAGGTGCAGGTGCAGGTAGAGGTGCAGGTGCAGGTAGAGGTGCAGGTAGTTGTAGAGGTGCAGGTAGAGGTGCAGGTAGAGGTGCAGGTAGAGGTGCAGGTGCAGGTAGATGTGCAGGTAGAGGTGCAGGTAGAGGTGCAGGTAGAGGTACAGGTGCAGGTAGAGGTGCAGGTAGAGGTGCAGGTAGAGGTGCAGGTAGAGGTGCAGGTACAGGTGCAGGTGCAGGTAGAGGTGCAGGTAGAGGTGCAGGTAGAGGTGCAGGTACAGGTGCAGGTAGAGGTGCAGGTAGAGGTGCAGGTGCAGGTAGAGGTGCAGGTACAGGTGCAGGTAGATGTGCAGGTGCAGGTACAGGTGCAGGTAGAAGTGCAGGTAGAGGTGTAGGTGCAGGTAGAGGTGCAGGTAGAAGTGCAGGTGCAGGTAGAGGTGCAGGTAGAGGTGCAGGTAGAGGTGCAGGTGCAGGTAGAGGTGCAGGTAGAGGTGCAGGTGCAGGTAGAGGTGCAGGTAGAGGTGCAGGTAGAGGTGCAGGTAGAGGTGCAGGTGCAGGTAGAGGTGCAGGTAGAGGTGCAGGTAGAGGTGCAGGTGCAGGTAGAGGTGCAGGTGCAGGTAGAGGTGCAGGTACAGGTAGAGGTGCAGGTACATGTGCAGGTACAGGTGCAGGTACAGGTGCAGGTAGAGGTGCAGGTAGAGTTGCAGGTAGAGGTGCAGGTGCAGGTAGAGGTGCAGGTGCAGGTAGAGGTGCAGGTACAGGTGCAGGTAGAGGTGCAGGTAGAGGTGCAGGTAGAGGTGCAGGTGCAGGTAGAGGTGCACGTGCAGGTAGAGGTGCAGGTAGTTGTAGAGGTGCAGGTAGAGGTGCAGGTGCAGGTGCAGGTGCAGGTAGAGGTGCAGGTAGATGTGCAGGTAGAGGTGCAGGTGCAGGTAGAGGTGCAGGTAGATGTGCAGGGAGAGGCGCAGGTAGAGGTGCAGGTGCAGGTGCAGGTAGAGGTGCAGGTGCAGGTAGAGGTGCAGGTAGATGTGCAGGTACAGGTGCAGGTAGAGGTGCAGGTAGAGGTGCTGTTAGAGGTGCAGGTGCATGTACAGGTGCAGGTAGAGGTGCAGGTGCAGGTAGAGGTGCAGGTAGAGGTGCAGGTAGAGGTGCAGGTACATGTGTAGGTGCAGGTAGAGGTGCAGGTAGAGGTGCAGGTGTAGTTGCAGGTGCAGGTAGAGGTGCAGGTGCAGGTGCAGTTGCAGGTGCAGGTGTAGTTGCAGGTGCAGGTAGAGGTGCAGGTAGAGGTGCAGGTAGAAGTGCAGGTAAAGGTGCAGGTAGAGGTGCAGGTGTAGGTGCAGGTGTAGTTGTAGTTGCAGGTAGAGATGCAGGTAGAGGTGCAGTTAGAGGTGCAGGTGTAGTTGCAGGTGCAGGTAAAGGTGTAGTTGTAGTTGCAGGTGTAGTTGTAGTTGCAGGTGGGGCGGTGGGTGAGGGAAGCTGCACTCCAGGTAGACTCTAGCAGGTCCGGCTGCTAGCGTCTACTTGAAGCACACAAAGACAAAGATCCCCCGTGTAGCCTTAACAGACTGGCAGGGGCAAGTGCTGTTAGCGAGCAGCAGCGTCTATGAAGGCCGGACCGGTTACGCGAGGGGGGTGGGTGGTCGGCACCACGCCCGGCCGCCTTTGTCTCCCCAGTGGCGATGTTTACTACTACACCGCTACACCAGGTAACTCATTTTTAGGCTGAGTCGCCGGCGGTGTTGGCCGTGAGCAGGAATCGAACCCGGGTCGCCAGGTTCGTAGCGCAGCGTAGCGCTAACCTGCTACACCACACGCACAGGCGTACACACACAGGCGTACACACACAGGCGTACACACACAGGCGTACACACACACAGACACAGACACACGCCTGGTCTCATCATGGTCACCCAGACTCTGTTCCGTCTTTCTCTCTCCCCACAGTGTCTGGCACGGCTACCCTCTGTGAGAATAAGACGAAACCCTGACCCTGAGACCCGGTGTCAACTCAAGACTCTGAGACACTGAGACCCGGTCTCTACTCTAGACTCTGAGACCCTGAGACCCAGTCTCTACTCTAGACACTGAGACCCGGTCTCTACTCTAGACACTGACCCTGAGACCCGGTCTCTACTCTAGACTCTGAGACCCTGAGACTCGGTGTCAATTCAAGACTCCCACCCTGAGACCCGGTCTCAACTCTAGACACTCACCCTGAGACATAGATGCTCAAACAAGGTTGAACAGATGGGTGCTGTGCTATATTTTAGATTTTTCTGGATGGGAAATAATAACGGTGTCTGTACATATTGTCTGACCTTGCGAAGAAAATGCAAAAAAATTAATCTATTGCGCGACGTTTGATAACTTAACGGCTGCGAGGTTTGGTCGATTGTATACCCATGGGGTGGGTGTCAAGGAGGGTAAGCCCCTGGCTCTGCAAGAAGTCGGCACAGCAGAGTGTGTGGACTAATGTCCATCTGTTCCATTTCTCAGTAGAAGGGGGGTACAGTAGAGTGTGTGGACTAATCTCCATCTGTTCCATCTCACTCCCTGTCTATACCCGTGGGTGGGTGTCATCTGGTTGATAATTGTACGGTAGATTTTTTTTTACCTAGTGTGTTAATGCAAGTGGTTTTTTTAAATTATTAAATTGACGATGTAATAATAATAACTTAATTATATTTTTATATTTTTTACTTTGCGGCCTACGAGGTGAATTGACCTGATTTTCCTAGCTCGTTTCCCGCGGTGGTGGTTGGGGGGGGGGGGGGGTGTGTGGGCTCTCTGTCGGGCCGGGCCGCTCAGGCAAGAGGGGAGGGCTGGTGGAGTCAGGACTCGGGCCTACTGTCACCACCGTTGCCATGGCAACGCCTGCCTCCTTTCTCATCTGCAAGTGCCTCAATAAACCAGCTGAGTTTGTGTGCATGTTGAACTTAAACCTGCTGTTATTCTTATTATTTTTCACGATATTTTTTGCTGGCACAAAAGATCCCATTTTTGAACTAAAGGGGCCGTCCATAAATGACGTCACGCACCTGGGGGAGGGGGAAGGGGGGTGGGGGGGGGGTCAGACGTTTGTGACGAGGGCGGGGGGGGGGGGCGGGGTTTGTGAAATGTGACGTCACATCAAAATGGGCAAACCTTATAAATCAATACAGACAACACGTTCTACTTAATTAAATAGACTTTTTAATAAATATACCATTGCTCCAACAACACTGAATTGTTACAGCAACACTGCCCACAACATCGGAGTGCAGCGCCACGTTGAATTCGCGCTACAATGACGATAGTTCAAGGCAATTTGAAGCGTGTTTTATTTGCAACCTGTAAACGGTTTAATTCTGTTTTACCAAGTAAAGCCCCATCATTGAGCCGCTGTGTTGTAGTAGGAGCGACACTTGGACAATAACAGCAGCTCGGCCAAGTGTCTGATATCATCATCATTGGGACATCAAATCATCTCAACTAAACTCATGTTTATTGTACCAGCTTCAAGAACCCATCACTGAGATGCTACTGTTGCTACTACTGCTGCTGTGGTAGTAGTGATAGTGGCTCTATCGTCAGAAGTGACACTTGGCCAATCGTAAATAACAGCAGCTCGGCCAAGTGTCTGATATCATCATCATTGGGACATCAAATCATCTCAACTAAACTCACGTTTATTGTACCAGCTTTAAGGACCCCATCACTGAGACGCTACTACTGCTGTAGTAGTAGTGGTAGTGGATCTATCGTCAGAAGTGACACTTGGCCAATCGTAAATAACAGCAGCTCGGCCAAGTGTCTGATATCATCATCATTGGGACATCAAATCATCTCAATTAAACTCACGTTTATTGTACCAGCTTTAAGGACCCCATCACTGAGACGCTACTACTACTGCTGCTGTAGTAGTGGTGGTAATGGCTCTATCGTCAGAAGTGACACTTGGCCAATCACAAATAACAGCAGCTGAGCCAAGTGTCTGATATCATCATCATTGGGACATCAAATCATCTCACCTAAACTGACGTGTATTGTACCAGGTCTAAGACCCCATCACTGAGATGCTACTGCTACTGCTGTAGTAGTAGTGGTAGTGGATCTATCGTCAGAAGTGACACTTGGCCAATCGTAAATAACAGCAGCTCGGCCAAGTGTCTGATATCATCATCATTGGGACATCAAATCATCTCAATTAAACTCACGTTTATTGTACCAGCTTTAAGGACCCCATCACTGAGACGCTACTACTACTGCTGCTGTAGTAGTGGTGGTAGTGGCTCTATCGTCAGAAGTGACACTTGGCCAATCACAAATAACAGCAGCTGAGCCAAGTGTCTGATATCATCATCATTGGGACATCAAATCATCTCACCTAAACTGACGTGTATTGTACCAGGTCTAAGACCCCATCACTGAGATGCTACTGCTACTGCTGTAGTAGTAGTGGTAGTGGCTCTATCGTCAGAAGTGACACTTGGCCAATCACAAATAACAGCAGCTCAACCAAGTGTCTGATATCATCATTGGGACATCAAATCATCTCAAATAAACTCACGTTTATTGTACCAGCTTCAAGAACCCCATCACTGAGACGCTACTACTACTGCTGCTGTAGTAGTAGTGGTAGTGGCTTTATCGTCAGAAGTGACACTTGGCCAATCGTAAATAACAGCAGCTCGGCCAAGTGTCTGATATCATCATCATTGGGACATCAAATCATCTCAACTAAACTCACGTTTATTGTACCAGCTTCAAGACCCCATCACTGAGATGCTACTACTACTGCTGTAGTAGTAGCGGTAGTGGCTCTATCGTCAAAAGTGACACTTGGCCCATCACAAATAACAGCAGCTGAGCCAAGTGTCTGATATCATCATCATTGGGACATCAAATCATCTAAATTAAACTCACGTTTATTGTACCAGCTTTAAGGACCCCATCACTGAGACGCTACTACTGCTGTAGTAGTAGTGGTAGTGGCTCTATCGTCAGAAGTGACACTTGGCCAATCGTAAATAACAGCAGCTGAGCCAAGTGTCTGATATCATCATCATTGGGACATTATCAAATCATCTCAACTAAACTCAGGTGTATTGTACCAGCTTTAAGAGCCCATCACTGAGATACTACTGCAGCTGCTGTAGTAGTAGCGGTAGTGGCTCTATCGTCAGAAGTGACACTTGGCCAATCGTAAATAACAGCAGCTGAGCCAAGTGTCTGATATCATCATCATTGGGACATTATCAAATCATCTCAACTAAACTCAGGTGTATTGTACCAGCTTTAAGACCCCATCACTGAGATACTACTGCAGCTGCTGTAGTAGTAGTGGTAGTAGCTCTATCGTCAGAAGTGACACTTGGCCAATCACAAATAACAGCAGCAGAACCACGTGTCTGATATCATCATCATTGGGACATCAAATCATCTCACCTAAACTGACGTGTATTGTACCAGGTCTAAGACCCAATTACTGAGATGCTACTGCTACTGCTGTAGTAGTAGTGGTAGTGGCTCTATCGTCAGAAGTGACACTTGGCCAATCACACATAACAGCAGCTCAACCAAGTGTCTGATATCATCATCATTGGGACATCAAATCATCTCAATTAAACTCACGTTTATTGTACCAGCTTCAAGAACCCCATCACTGAGAAGCTACTACTACTGCTGCTGTAGTAGTAGTGGTAGTGGCTCTATCATCAGAAGTGACACTTGGCCAATCACAAATAACAGCAGCAGAAGCAAGTGGCTGATATCATCATCATTGGGACATCAAATCATCTCGACTAAACTCAGGTGTATTGTACCAGCTTCAAGAACCCATCACTGAGATGCTACTACTACTGCTGCTGTAGTAGTAGTGGTAGTGGCTCTATCGTCAGAAGTGACACTTGGCCAATCACAAATAACAGCAGCAGAACCACGTGTCTGATATCATCATCATTGGGACATCAAATCATCTCAATTAAACTCACGTTTATTGTACCAGCTTTAAGGACCCCATCACTGAGACGCTACTACTACTGCTGCTGTAGTAGTAGTGGTAGTGGCTCTATCGTCAGAAGTGACACTTGGCCAATCACAAATATCAGCAGCTGAGCCAAGTGTCTGATATCATCATTGGGACATCAAATCATCTCAACTAAACTGACGTGTATTGTACCAGGTCTAAGACCCCATCACTGAGATGCTACTGCTGCTGCTGTAGTAGTAGTGGTAGTGGCTCTATCGTCAGAAGTGACACTTGGCCAATAACAGCAGCTGAGCCAAGTGTCTGATATCATCATCATTGGGACATCAAATCATCTCAATTAAACTCACGTTTATTGTACCAGCTTTAAGACCCCATCACTGAGATGCTACTACTACTGCTGCTGTAGTAGTAGTGGTAGTGGCTCTATCGTCAGAAGTGACACTTGGCCAATCGTAAATAACAGCAGCTCGGCCAAGTGTCTGATATCATCATCATTGGGACATCAAATCATCTCAATTAAACTCAGGTGTATTGTACCAGCTTTAAGGACCCCATCACTGAGACGCTACTACTACTGCTACTGCTGTAGTAGTAGTGGTAGTGGCTCTCGTCAGAAGTGACACTTGGCCAATCACAAATAACAGCAGCTGAGCCAAGTGTCTGATATCATCATTGGGACATCAAATCATCTCAACTAAACTGACGTGTATTGTACCAGTTCTAAGACGCCATCACTGAGATGCTACTGCTGCTGCTGTAGTAGTAGTGGTAGTGGCTCTATCGTCAGAAGTGACACTTGGCCAATCGTAAATAACAGCAGCTCGGCCAAGTGTCTGATATCATCATCATTGGGACATTATCAAATCATCTCAACTAAACTCATGTTTATTGTACCAGCTTCAAGAACCCATCACTGAGATTCTACTGTTGCGACTACTACTACTGCTGCTGTAGTAATAGTGGTAGTGGCTCTATCGTCAGAAGTGACACTTGGCCAATCGTAAATAACAGCAGCTCGGCCAAGTGTCTGATATCATCATCATTGGGACATCAAATCATCTCAAGTAAACTCACGTTTATTGTACCAGCTTTAAGACCCCATCACTGAGATGCTACTACTACTGCTGCTGTAGTAGTAGTGGTAGTGGCTCTATCGTCAGAAGTGACACTTGGCCAATCACAAATAACAGCAGCTGAGCCAAGTGTCTGATATCATCATTGGGACATCAAATCATCTCAACTAAACTGACGTGTATTGTACCAGCTTCAAGACCCCATCACTGAGATGCTACTACTACTGCTGTAGTAGTAGCGGTAGTAGCGGTAGTGGCTCTATCGTCAGTAGTGACACTTGGCCAATCACAAATAACAGCAGCTGAGCCAAGTGTCTGATATCATCATTGGGACATCAAATCATCTCAACTAAACTGACGTGTATTGTACCAGGTCTAAGACCCCATCACTGAGATGCTACTACTACTGCTGCTGTAGTAGTAGTGGTAGTGGCTCTATCGTCAGAAGTGACACTTGGCCAATCACAAATAACAGCAGCTGAGCCAAGTGTCTGATATCATCATCATTGGGACATCAAATCATCTCAACTAAACTCATGTTTATTGTACCAGCTTCAAGAACCCATCACTGAGATGCTACTACTACTGCTGCTGTAGTAGTAGTGGTAGTGGCTCTATCGTCAGAAGTGACACTTGGCCAATCACAAATAACAGCAGCAGAACCACGTGTCTGATATCATCATCATTGGGACATCAAATCATCTCAATTAAACTCACGTTTATTGTACCAGCTTTAAGGACCCCATCACTGAGACGCTACTACTACTGCTGCTGTAGTAGTAGTGGTCGTGGCTCTATCGTCAGAAGTGACACTTGGCCAATCACAAATAACAGCAGCAGAACCACGTGTCTGATATCATCATCATTTGGACATCAAATCATCTCAATTAAACTCAC